TAGCATGCATGAAACCCTGGGTTCTATTCCTCAGTACCACATACACAGAAAAAGTCAGAAATGGTGCTGTGACTCAAGTGGTAGAGTGCTAGCCTTGAGCAAAGGAAGCTCAGGGACAGTGCCCAGACCCTGACCTCAAGCTCCAGGACTGGCCAAAAAAAAAAAAAGAATTCAATGCAGGCCTGGTATGGGTGGCTCATGACTATAATCCTAAACTACTGAGGAGGCTAAGATTTGAGAATGGAAATTCAAAGCCAGCTGACAAAAAAGTCCAAATAACTATCAAAAAGCTGGAAATGGAGCTATGACTCAAAGTGGTAGAGCATCAGTACTGAGCATAGAGCCTAGACTGTGAGTTTAAGCCCAAGAACCAGCCAAAAAAATCAGAATACACACACACACACACACACACACACACACACACACACACACACACACACACACCCTAAGAATGAGGAAAGGCGTAAGGGAGGGATGGTTGAGAATGTTGAAAAGATGCACTGTATTCATAAACTGCTTTGTTAAATGGCAACTCCTTTGTACAACTACTTAAATTTGAGAGAGAGAGCGCGCAAGAGAATGAGCAAGCGCAAGCGCAAGCATGAGAGCAAGCACTGGACACTGGTGGCTCTTGCCTATAATCCTAGCTAATCAGGAGGCTGAGATCTGAGGATCAATGGAAGGTCTATAACACATTATCTCCAATAAATTACTAAAAAACTGTGGCTCATGAGTGGATCCAAAAAATGTGGTACTTATACCCAATAAAATTTTACACAGCCATTAGAAAGAATAATATTACATCATTTGTAGGTAAATGGCTAGACCTAGAACAAATCATGCTGAGTGAGGTAAGCCAATCTCAGAGCATGTTTTCTCTCATATGCAGAAACTAGATCTAATAAATTATACAGGACTCTAGACATTCACACACAGTGAAACCAAAGGAAGGTACTCTTAGAAGAACACAAAGGCACAATCCCTATGTGCATCTGATCATATAAAATAGTATTTTTCACCAGGCACTGGTGGCTCACACCTATAATCCTAGCTACTCAGATGACTGAGATCTGAGGGTCGTGGTTCAAAGCCAGCACGGGCATTAAAGTTTCTGAGACTCTTATCTCCAATAAACTACTCAAAGAAAGCAGAAGTAGCACTGTGGCCCAAATGGTAGAGCACAAATAGCTCAATGACAGAGCCCAGGCCCTGAGTTCAAACCCCAGGACTGGAAACAAATAGTTTTCAAAATCAATTCCAAGAAAGGGAAACAAGAGCATTTCTCCTCATTGCTGTTTTTCTTTTTGTCTTGTTCATCTACCTATCTTTGGGAGGGTAAAGGGGGGACAAAGAAATTGAGGGACAAAGGGTGAGCAAGTGCAGCATAGGCACTCACTAGACACTATGTTAAAAATGAACTTTACATGCTGGGAATGTGGCTTAGTGGTAGAGTAATTGCCTAGCATGCCTGAAGCCCTGAGTTTGATTCCCCGGTACCATATAAACAGAAAAAGCTGGAAGTGGTGCTGTGGCTGAAGTGGTAGAGTGCTAGCCTTGAGCAAAAGAAGTTCAGGGACAGTGCCCAGACCTTGAGTTCAAGCCCCAGGACTGGCAAAAAATAAACTATACAACTTGTGGGTGTGGATGGAAGGGAAAAACTGAGACCAAAAGAAAGGGTGACATTGTCCAAAAAGAAACATACTTGTTACCTGATTTGTGTAACTGTAACACCTCTGTACATCACCTTCATATTAAGAAAAAAAATTATGCCGGGGGCTTGTGGCTCACACCTGTAATCCTAGCTATTCTAGAGGCTGAGATCTGAGGATTGCGGTTCAAAGCCAGCTTGGACACGAAAGTCCAGAAGACTCTTCTCTCCAATAAACCACTCAGAAAACCAGAAGTGGCACTGTGGCTCAAGTGGTAGAGCAGTAGCCTTGAGCTGTAGAGCTCAGGGACAGCGCCCAGGCCCAGACTTCAAGCCCCATGGCTGACAAGAAAAGAAAAAAGAAAAAAATTAAGCTTCAGCTCAGCCAGGTGCTAGTGGCTCACACCTGTAATCCTAGCTACTCGAGAAGCTGAGATCTGATGATTGCGGTTCATAGCCAGCCCAGTCCATGAGACTCTTATCTCCAACTAATCACCAAAAAAGCCAAAATTGGCATTGTGGCTCAAGTAGTAGACTGCTATCCTTGAGCACAAAAGCTCAAGGACAGCACCCAGGCCTTGAGTTCAAGCCCCAGAGCAAATAAAAAAAGAAATCAAAATATTCACAAGTCTAATAATAGATTATTAAATATGATTCAGTCTTATAATTAATTGCCATGACTATTAAGAATGGTAAGCCCGGGCTGGGAAGGTGGCTCAGTGGTAGAGCGCTTGCCTTGCATGCATGAGGCCCTGGGTTCGATCCTCAGCACCACATAAGCAGGGGAAAAAAAGCCAGAAGTGGCGCTGTGGCTCAAGTGGTAGAGCGCTCGCCTTGAGCTGAAGAGCTGAGGGACAGCGCCCAGGCCTGGAGTTCAGGCCCACAACTGGACCCAAAAAAAGAAAAAAGAAAAAAAGAATGGTAAGCCCACTACTAGTGGCTTACACTTGTAATCCCAGCCTACTCAGGACTCTGAGATCTGGAAGATCACAATCTGAAGCCAGTCTGTACAGAAAAGTCCAAGAGACTCCAACTCTAAAAGAAATAAGCTACGCTGTTCTGGTGCTGGTGGCTCACACCTGCAATCCTAGCTACTCAGGAGGCTGAGATGTGAGGATTAAGTTTGACACCCATCTAGACAGATGGGTGTCAAACCCTACTTTCAGCAAAAGGCTGAAAAAAAAAGACAAGCAAGAGTACAATGCCATTAGTTCTAGTCGCAAGCAAAGAAGAAGGGAAAGGGAGGGAATGGGAGTGGGAGTGGGAAGGAGTACAGGGAAAGAAAGAAAAAGGTAATGGGAAAGGGGGGAGGGAAAGGAAATGGGAAGAGAAACTGAAAAGGAAGGGAAAAGGAAGAAGAGGAAAGGAGAAAAGGGGAAGGGGAAATGGAAGAGAAATGGAAGGGAAGGGGAAGAAGAGAAAGGAAAGAGAAGGGAGAATGGAAGAGAAGGGAGGAAAGGGAAGAAAATGGAAAGGGAAGAAAAGAAGGAAATGGGAGAGAAGGGAAAGAGGGAGGGAAAGAAAAGGGAAGTAGAAGGGAAGGGGAAGGAG